CTTGACCCTGTGGGGCAAGCTGGAGAGGGATCTCTGGCTGCTCTGGGAGCCCAGCCTGGAAGCAGCTTCCTAACTCACCCTCACACTCCTCTCTGAAGGGGACTCTGGATTCCAGAGAAAGCCATCTGGGCTCTTGGGCTCTGGGCAGTGGTATGAGCCAGACTGGACAGACTCCACCCACCTGGACTTGGGGAAAAGCCCCCTCTTGGGAAAATACCCTCCTAGAACTACCAAACTTAGTCTGACATTGGCTTCTTCCATGAGATTATCAAGAAAGGAAAAATATGTTACCTAGTTTTGTCTTGCAAAGGGTAGTGTGGGGAGAGGCAAAGGCATCAGAGTTGGTAGAGCTGAATTCACATCCCTTTTAACTGGGTGACCTTGTCCAGGGTCCAGAACTAGGTACAACCTTGGTTTTGCATCTGGTAAAACAAAGATGGTGAGGATGATAAGCTATCACCATCTGTCATAGCTGGAGACCTAATTCGTAGTTCATAAATCTGACTATTCCAATAACTTAAGAAAATGACAAAGAAGGCACACAACCACACAGAAGTACCTTTTCAATAATCCAGGGTTGGCTCTGTGAACGTAAGGGCCCATGGAAAGACATAGAGCCACTGGAATTCTTTATTTTTACATAGGAGACACACAAGGGGAGTTTCCATAGAACATTTTATCCTAAAAAGGGCAAAGGGGTCGGAATACAAGGGAACAGATGAGTGTAACTCAACCCCAGTGGGTGATGCCTACACCTGGAGCCATGCCTTGTTATCTGAGCTGGGGTGACGCCACATTACTGCAACCTGGCACTGCCCTGCCAGACTGAATGCAGTAATTGTTCAGAACCCGGTGCATCAGGGCTTAAAGGCGTCTGCATCCAAGGCAGCTCCCGACAATAAGCCATGGGCAAATCAAGTTGTTCTGCACGACCTCACCTTGGGAGCCAGGTAGGCATTCAGCAATATTTCCATGCAGAAATATATTCTCAGACTAAAGGTGACACACCTAGAAGTGCACCTTTGGATGACAACTGACCTGTGAGGTAGGGAGTTGAAATTTACATCACGTTTTTAGAGGAAATAATAATATATGGAAGGTCATAAACCAAAGCATGAAATGTTGGGTCAGGCTCATGGAATTAAAAGCTGTTTTCAAATTTGTTTAAAGTTACATTGAGATAAATCTATGTAGTTCAAACTTTCCAGGATATCCCCCACCTCTGACGCACACACAGGGAGCAGTGTCCACAACTTTTTTACTCCTCTTTACAGCATCACCAAATGTATGTGTGTGTGTGTGTGTGTATACACACACACACACACATACACATATATATACTCGCACACATATACATGATGTATTATGTAATATTTTGTTCTTTTTGGTTTGTTTTTAGACTGTCTGTAATAGAATCTCATATACATTCTTTTGCTCCCCTTCAGCTGACCATCAGGAAGAAGGAAACACCAGAGAAGCTTGAGGATCAGAAGGACACTAGCCCTGCTCTGGTCACCCTGGAAGCTGGCTAGCCTGCACCCACCAAAGCCTGAGGAAACAGCAGCCCTGCTTCAGCCACTTGAGGGCTGGCTGATCAATGCAAGGAGGAAAATAAACTAAGCAACAGGACAAATGGACTGTTTCATCCTGTAAGAGGGCTCTCATACTGTGGTGCATTGCCACCCCTTACTTCTGTCATATACACAGTCCTCTCCTTGGTCTTTACTACAGGACTGACAACCACCAAACACATAGCTAACCCATAATGGGGGGCGGGGCAAGGGAAGATGGGAGGGACTTTGGATTGGGCTGAGGGGAGTGTGGGAGGGGAGGGGATATGGGAGTGGGAAGGATGGTGGAATGAGGTGGATTGTATTAATCTATGTACATGTATGATTGCAGGAATGGGGTGACTGTGCACTGTGTCTAACCAGAGAAATGAAAAGTTGCCTCCATTTGTGTTTAATAGTCAAAATGCATTCTGCTGTTAAATATAACTAATTGAAAAAAAATTCATAAAGGTCTAAGGCTTAAAAGGAAGTTTAGACACTTTAATGGTCATAAAAATATATACATTTTTCTTGTATAAAATTTAAACTTATTAATTAAATTGAAAAAAAAAAGCCAACTAGCACATGTACTAGTTCAAACCTGAAAGGGCATTAAGGCTTGGGAACCAAGCTCACTCTTTGGAGGATGGTTTTTCTATTCTTGGTGGATTCAAAAGTTTAATTGACATAGTATGGATTATGCTATTGTTTATTGCTTTCATATTTGTCTCCCTTTTACAATGAAACATTGGGTCAACTACAGAAGCAGCTATTGGGGTGGGGAGGGAGTAACAGAGAGAGAAATTAAGATTATGGCATTATATAAAATGTTGAGCCTAGAAGATAATGATGTTTTTTTATTTAAAGGGTTAAATAATGAGCATCAGAGGGGGTAACGATGTACCACAAATACTCCAAATGATGTAGTGTCCAAAAGATCCCCACCTTAATTGTAACATATAAGCCTTTCTCCTAGTAAACAAGATTTTTTTTTTTTTTTAAAGTCAACAGGATTTCTAGAGAGCTCATTGTGGTTTAGCTCCTCTTTATTGTAAAGGTCAGGTTTCTCTTTCTTGTAAAAGTTAGGTCTGCAGGGCTGGGGTTGTGGCTCAGTGTTAGAACACTTACCTAGCAGGTGTGAGGCACTGGGTTTGATTCTTACACCACATAAAAATAAGGTATTGTGCCCATCTACAACTTAAAAAAAAAGTTATGTCTGCAATCAAGCTTGTTGACGTACAAAAGTTAAATCTTGTGAAACCTCTGTCCAATCTAAGAACATGGAATAAAAATAGCTATTATGTTAACCATTGTGTTGTGTAACCATTCACTGAGTAGAAATCCCAGAGAGCTTCCATACCTGGGGTCCAGGGATTTTTTGGCATTAGCCCCTCTGGATTACACCAGCTTAAATAAACCTTGTTCCTGCACATTTCTCAAGTGTCCAGCCTCCTCTGTCCTACATCAATACCTGCTTGAAATGCTAGAATGTCCCCATTCTTGAAGGACACTCAGAGACAGTCTCTCTGGCTCTGCCACAGTATGAATTCTATCCAAAGATATTAATCACAAAAAACTAAAGGGAGATTACACTATAGTGACCTCCTGGGGGGAGATTCAGTGTTGCATGATGAAACTTGTATACATATATTGTATTGCTATGATATACCCTGTAAAGTATAGAAATGATACATCTGAATAAACATGTTTTGTGAGAAATTGAATGTCATGTTTGCATTTGGGGTTGTTTCTGATATTATGCTGTAATAATATTTAATGATGTGATTACATTTTTTTTAAATCTGAAAAAGACATCAGAATTTTGTACAGTAACATTGTTAGTAAAGGGGATATTTTGGTGATTAGAATTCATGCTTTCCTGTTTTTAAAAGTTTACATGTTGAATTAAAGCTTTGCAGCAGACATCAACTCCATTAGAACCTCGGTCTGGTGAAGCCACAGCATGGTGCCTGACCAGGGAAGTGCCCATGTGTGCCTGGTTCTTTGACACCTAGTAGATAGAAGCCCTGACCTAGGGGGTGGGACCTGCATTCCTGCCCCCTTACTTGCTTACACTGGGGCACCTTGACTGATGTGCTCTGCTTTAATCTCTCATCTGTGAGAATATTTGCCCAATGTGCCATGGGGCTGTTGAAGATCCGTGATGAAATTTATGAAGTTTAACTAAGTCTGGTTGGACTACAGCGTGAGGAGTGGGGCACCCTGCCAAAGCTGTCTATGAGACTGCCCCCACCCTCTCTCTACCTGCTTTCCTGTATGGTCCCTGTGGAAGGCAGGGGGACTGCTGTTCATCTGCCATGCAGCCTGCAGTTCCAAAGAGTGGGAGATGTTAGGTAGCAGTGAGTAGTGAGAAGTGAAATGCAAGCCAATATCAGGGCAAGGTCATGGGTTTTCCTTAAGTTACTTTTAAGGTTTTCTTTAAATTAATTTTAAGGCAAGTAGGTACTCAGATAATGCAGGAAAACAACAAGTATACAAATAAAGAGAACAAAAGGAGCCAAATAAGAAATACATCAAAGGTTTAATGGGGGCTATTCCTAACTCTTGACAGGGTCAGTTGAGGTCATTGTAAAGCTAGAATTGATGGCCACAGGTGTCCCAATTCTCACATTAACATAGGATTGACTCGTAAATAACACTCCCCTCCCTAGGTGGACACCATGACAGTTCTGGAAAGGACCAACTAGGGCCCAAAACTCTACCACCTGACATGAAGGAGTTGAACCCTGATTGTCAAATAGTGCTGAAGGTGGACCCCAGCTCTCAGGGCACCCCTAAAACACCAATCCATTTGGAGACAGCATTGTTCCATTTGTCGTTCTCGGCTGGGAGAAGACCCACTCAGGAGTGCTCTTTGTTTGAGCCTTACTCTACTTTTACTTATAATGAAGCTCTCCTGCATGGCTTTTTGAGTCTGTAATTTCTCTTTTTTTGGAACACAAGCACTGAGGTTTGGAGGTTCAACTCCCCACTCTCCTGGAGTCCCTTGTCAACCCTAATGACTTGCATCTTGGTGTACCATTGCAGTAAGATGAGTTTCTTGTTTGGAGCTAAAGTTTTATGGCAATGACTGAGGCATCCTATGAATCCATGAGTGGTGATAGCAGCAGAAGCTTTATGAATAGGGAAAGAACACTCACATTTGGTCGTTGTATTTACTCCTGTGAACCACCATGTTTCTGCTAGTGTTTGTGAGCAACTCTGCCATCTCCAGGACTCTGTGTCAGCTTGTTATCAGCAGGAGGAACATGCACCAGTGGAGTAGCTAGGTCAATCCAGGTAGGAAGGAGCCCATGTTCTGCCCAGGCATACACTTCCTTTCAGAAATGTGGGGTGATAACGGGATTCCAGAATGTGGGTCCCCAGTTCTAGACCATACTTCCAACGGGAACTTAAAAATCTCTTCACACAGAAATCATTAGGCTCAAATGGTTTCACCAGCAAGTTTTATCAAACGTCTAAGGAGCAAATAATTTCATTCTTACACAAAATTCTCCAGGGTACTGAAAAAGGACATTCCTTATTTCACATGAACTTTAGGCCACTCTAATAAACATGGGTGCAAAATTCTTCACTAAACATTAGCAAATCAAGTGCAGTGTAGCAAATGTGTTTTTTATCACTGGTCCCAGAAATGCTATACATAATTGTATCAAGGGGAAAATACATACACACATACATTTATCCGAGAATGAAAGATTTAATATGTGAAAATCAATGTGATCCTCCATCTCAGTAGAGTGAAGGAGGAACATGATATGATTTTCTCACTAGAGGCAGAAAAGCACTTCATGCTAAGTGACATGCAGGGCATTAGAATAAAGAGCTACTTCCCTTTTCTGTTCCAGAGCAGCTTCAAAAGTGCTAACCACTCTTTTGTAAGGCTGGTGGATATTTTAGGGATGCAGGTTGGGCAGTATGAAGGGTTCATTCTTACAAATCCATACTAAATCAATATCACTTTGACATCTGTTTACATCTGTTCACATAACTTGGAGGGAATCTGGTGATGTAACAAAATGTAGAAAAAAGAAATGCTTTGGAAAGGAGAGGAGGAGCTAGTCCTGGGTAGGCATCGGCATCCACATTTTGAACTGCTACAGCCCATCAGTCCCCCTGACTATCTTCAGCCTTGGCCTTTGGACGGGGCCAGCCCAGCAGCATGGGCAGGTGGGCAGGTCGACAGGGCACTGAGGCCAGGAAAATCTTCTCGAAGAAGAAGAACTTGGTCACAGGTCTCCATGGACAGGAGCAAGGCAGAGAAGAACCAAGACAGTTTCTTCTCCAATGCAAATCCCAGCAGCCACTTCCTCTCAGGCTTCTCAGACCAGATCTTAATTGGAATCCTCTTTGCTGAATCCATGGGAACCCACAGACTTCATTTGGGGCAGGTTGCAAGCTGGGCTGAGGCATAAATCTGAGCTCTGGGACACACATTGGTACTATTTCCTGGGCAGGGATGGCAGTGTCCCCTCTGTTACCCAAGGAAGGACTATGGTCCCTGTGGGGCAACAAGTTCCAGACAGGAGTGGGGTCTCTGTAAGCTCTTTACACATCAACTTTGCTCAATTTATCTTAACCCTAAATTAAAGAATATATTTAACTCCTTAAAAAAGGGAAATTCTCTTCTAAGTACTTGGAGAAGACCAGGGAGGCTGTGGTATTTGGTCCAGTGAGACTGTTGGCTTCAGAATCCTGCCCCGGGTTTCACTGGGGCCATAGGATGGAAGTGAAGATGTCAAAGGCCAGAAGAAACCCTAATATACACTTCCTAAGTAACAGAGTGCTTAAGTTGTTTTTCCAGAATCCACTCAAAGAAAATTTATAACCAGCTATTCAAAAATGGACCTATGCAGAAAAGCCAGCCCCATCAGCCAGTGACTTTTTTGAGGTTTAAAGCTTAACTTCCCTGCTACCCCACAGAACTTGATAACTACCTGGAAAAGAAATATACAACCTGTGAAGAGGCAGGATGACCATCTAGGCCTGTGCCCCAAACCCTAACTTTTCCCCTTCTTGCCACCCAGCCAACAAACACCTTCTCCCTTTCTTGTTGAGAGCCACAGCCAAAGGGGCTCCAGCAAACTTCCAGCTGCTGGCTGATGATTGGCTCACAGCAGCCCCAGCAACATCTAGCTGATTGGCTCCTCTGTGGTGATGCTCATTGGGCTGTTTCCCTGCCCTTTCAGACCACGGAGCTGCTCATTGGGGGACTTTTTTGGCTCCGCCCACGTGACCCAGCCAATCGGCCTCAAGAGCAGGAGGATTGTGGGAGGTGGAGAGAAGCTGGTGTGGGAGAGAGAGGCTTGTGAAAAGCCGGTGGTGGCAGTTGAGGCTCTGAGGGTTTTTCCTGAGAGGCTGTTTTGTTTGGCGTGTGTGGTTCTAAAAATAAAGTTAGTTTCTTTTGACAAGTGGCTCCTGATTGTGCCCAGCCAGACTGCGGCGTTTGGTGGCTCGCACGGGGAGTGACTGAGGGTAAGTGAAACTTACCATCTGGCAAGTGTGTGACGTCCATCTGCCAAATATGGTTAGGTATCAATCCTCTAGGATTGACTCCAAGATTAACTTGTGGTAAAAAGGTCACACAATTTTGACATTGTTTTATTATTTGTCTAGCTTGTTCCTTAGTTATTTTAAAACGCTTTTGTAAAGTATTAGCATTGACATGGAACTTTTTATGAAAATTTATAGCTTCTTCTAGTGTAGAGAAAATATGTATGTCATGTGTAGTTTTATCTGCTAAATCATTGCCCAAACTAAGGGCTCCAGGCAATCCTGTATGTGCCCTGATATGTCCTATAAAGAATGGATCTTTTCTGTCCCAGATTAGACTTTGTATAGTGGAAAGCAAAGAGAAAACAGTAGAAGAAGGGGAAATCCTACCAGCATCTTCAAGAGATACTATAGCATTAACTACATACTGACTATCAGAAAATAAATTAAATACAGAATCTTTAAACATCACAAAAGCTTGTAAAACTGCATTAAGCTCTACCTTTTGAGCTGATTGTTTGGGTACTAAAAATGTAAAAGTTTGATCAGGGGTAACTACTGCTGCTGTACCATTATTTGACCCATCAGTGAATATATTTGGAGCATTCATGATAGGTGTTTTTCTTGTCATTTTTGGAAAAATTACAGGATGCAATGACCAAAAAGACAATAAAGGATTAGATGGTAAGTGGTTATCAAATGAAACATTAGATTTGCACATGATTATTGCCCAAGTATTTAACTCATTAGCTAACTCATCAATTTGATTCATAGTATATGGAGTAATAATTTTATTGGGAGAAATTCCAAACACTCCCTTGGCTGCTTTTATTCCTTTGAGTATTAATTGTCCTACAGCCTCAGGATACCTAGTAAGAATAGTGTTAGGAGAATAAGATAAATGTATCCATAATAATGGACCTTCTTGCCAAAATACTCCTGTAGGAATATTTTTTGTTGGTAGTACAATAAATAATAAAGGCAAACTTATATCAATTCTATCCAAATGCATATTTTCCATATATGTTTCAATGATTTTTAATGCCTTTCTTGCTTCAGGCGTTAACATTCGGGGTGAATTTGGATCTGATGGACCTTTTAGGATATCAAATAAAGGTCCCAACTCTCCTGTTGGTATACCTAAATAAGGCCTTATCCAATTTATGTCTCCTAATAACTTTTGAAAGTCATTAAGTGATTTGAGTTGATCTACTCGTATTTGAATTTTTGGTGGACGGACCATGGTTGAGGATAATAGAACTCCTAAATAATTAATTGGAAAATTTAATTGTACTTTATCTATTGCTATCTCTAGATTATAATTTTTTAATAAGTTTGTAAGTGTGGCATAACATTCTAGCAATGTGTTTTTATCTTTGTGTGCTAATAATACATCATCCATATAGTGAAATATTTGTAGTTCAGGATTTTGATTTCTAAGTGGCTGGATTACTTTGTTAACATAAATTTGACACATAGTTGGGCTGTTAGCCATCCCTTGAGGGAGTACTTTCCATTCATATCTCTGATCAGGACCTTCATGATTCAGTGCAGGGATAGTAAATGCAAAACGTGGACTATCCTCAGGATGAATTGGAATTGAAAAAAAAAATCTTTAATATCTATAACTAAAACATACCAGGTTTTTGGCAAAGCAGACAACTGAGGAATCCCTGATTGAGCAGGTCCCATAATAACCATCTCATTATTAATGGCTCTTAAATCTTGCAATAATCTCCATTTACCAGATTTCTTTTTGATGACAAAAATGGGAGTATTATGGGGAGATACAGAAGGTTGTATATGTCCTTCTGCTAATTGTTGTTTGACCAGGTCATGGGCTGCTTGTATCTTTTCTTTAGTCAGGGGCCACTGAGGAACCCATACTGGTCTTTCTGATTTCCAAGTAATTTTGTCTCAGTGGCCCTTTCTGAAAATCCAACCCATGTCTGTCTGTTCCTTGATCTATTTGTATTGGTGCTGCTATACCTTGTTCTTGTTTTTCTAATCTTTTTCCTTTCCTAAAACCTTGTCTAGTCATAATAGTGGGTGCATTTTGGTTGATGTTATTTGTTAATGTCAAACCTAATTGATCTAGGACATCTCGTCCCCATAAATTTACGGGAAGATGATCCAATACATATGGCTGTATAGTTCCTTCACATCCTTCAGGATCCTTCCAATCTAATACCATTGCACTTCTATGGGGATTAGTCGCCACTCCTAGGCCTCGAAGCGTTTGAGTGGCTTGTTGTAATGGCCAATGATTTGGCCATTCTTGACGAGAGATGATGCTAAGGTCTGCACCTGTATCCAGTAGCCCATTAAATTCATGTCCTTGAATATTTAGTTTTAGCATGGGGCAAGAATCTAAATTTAAAGAAAGCATAGCCCAATCTACACCTGTGGAGCCTAATCCCTTGGAACCTCTTTCTACAGTACGACTGGAAAATTTATCATGTAGGCTGGGTATTATTAGTAACTGTGCTATTCTATCTCCTGGTGAAATTACTGATATACCCTTTGGAGAACTGGCTATAATTTTTATTTCACCTTCATAATCGGGATCAATTACCCCAGGACTTATCATAAGTCCTTTTAGAGTAGAAGAGCTGCGTCCCAATAATAAGCCTACTGTTCCTTTGGGAAGAGGTCCTTTCACCCCTGTGGGAATGATTTGAACTCCCATCTCTGGAGTTAGTACTGCTCTGGCGGAGGCGCAGATGTCCAACCCTGCGCTCCCTCTGGTTTGTCTGATGAGGGATCTGATGGACAATGTGTCCTGGGCACTACCCTGATGGGGTTGCTGGGTTCCTCCAGTGCTCCGTATATTTGTGGTTTTGGGCCCCGGAGCATTGGGCCCCCCTGTCCATTTTTTGGCAATGGAGCCCGATGCCTTTCTCCACAATATCGTGGATAAACACCTGGTCCTTGTTCGTTTTTTGATAATGGAGTACCCTCTATGGTGGTTTGAGAACGGCATTCATTAGCCCAATGTCTCCCTCTACGGCACCATGGGCAAATACCTGGTATTCTACTCCTTTGATACCTAGTTTTGTTAAACCCTCCTCCAATGGGGCAATTCCTTTTAAAATGTCCTGTTTGTTCACAATTGTAGCATGTTCTTGGCCTGGCATCTAAAGCCTGTTTTACTGCAGCTGCCACAATTTGCCCTTGTTCATTAATGTCTCTGGCATCTAAAGCCTGTTTTACTGCAGCTGCCACGACTTGCTCTTGTTCATTAATGTCTCTACATAATTTAATATATGTGTTTAAATCTTCATGTTTCCATGGTCTAATGATATCTCTGCACCAACGATTCGCTTGCTCATAAGCCAGGTGTTTTAGTAATGGCATTGCTTGTTCTGTATTCCCAAAAACTCTGGTAGCTGTTTGAATAAGCCTATCTACAAATTCAGCATAAGGTTCATTAGCTCCTTGTATTACCTTAGATAATTGACCTTGTAAACCTCCATGTCCTTGTAAAGTCTTCCATGCCTTAATTGCATCTGCAGCAATTTGTGCGTATACGCCAGGATCATATGCAATTTGTTGCTGCTGATCCTCATAAGGTCCCTTTCCTAACAACATATCTAGATTTCTCTGAGGATAACCAGCTGCTGCATTTCGCCTAGCCGTCTCCTTGCAAAATTCCTCATTGGCAACCTTCCATAACAGGTATTGTCCTCCATTTAGCACAGCTTTACACATATTAGCCCAATCTGCTGGCGTCATGTTCAAGTTGTTAATGGATTCGACCATGCTTACAGTGAAGGGTGCTTGAGGACCATAGGTTGTTACAGCCTCTTTTAGCTGCTTCACTGTTTTGAAATTTAAAACTTGGTAAAATCGCTGCCCTCCTGCCTCAAATACAGGGCATGTTAATATTTGAGATCTTGTCTCAGGATCCCAACTATCAACTGCGGGGGTTGGGGGCCTCCCAGCATATGGAGGTGGCGCTGTTGGTTGGACACTTACGCCCTCTGGTGATAGAAAGGTGTTAGTAGCAGTCTCCTGCAGAGGTGGTGCTGTTGGTTGGACACTTACACCCTCTGGTGATAGAAAGGTGTTAGTAGCAGTCTCCTGTTGTAACTTTCCCCCTGATGGCTTTTTCTGTTTTACACTTTCTTTCTCTGTCTGACTAGCTTGAGAGGCCTTCTCTTTTACTTGAATCTTTTCCTCTGTCTGACTAACTTGAGAGACCTTCTCTTTTACTTGAATCATTATGTCTTCTCCTTCCTCTACCATTGTCTGAACTGAAGGCTTTGGACTAAGCAAACAAGATACGAATGTCCACAATGGCAATGTGCCAACTGGCAGAGTCCCTGGGCTTTTCTTTTCTATTCTTTTTAAATCTTCACCATGATGGTTCCATTGTGATATATTTAACAACTCCTCCTTTTCTATATGAGAGATCTACTCACACAATAAATATTATTATTACATAATAGTCACATCTTTTTCATTAGTAGGTAAAATGTGGACAACATAGGTCACACAGAGTTAATCATCATTTAACATTTTAGCTCAGGTTTTAATTTTGAAATTGATGATTCAAATCTGTATTAAAAGCTTATTACTGGGGCTGGGCATGTGGCTCAAGCGGTAGCGTGCTCGCCAGGCATGCGCGGGGCACTGGGTTCGATCCTCAGCACCACATAAAAATAAAATAAAGATGTTGTGTCCACTGAAAACTAAAAAATAAATATTTAAAAAAAAAAAAAAAGCTTATTACTATTGGCCAGGCCTGGTGGCACATGCCTGTAATCCCAGTGATATGAGAGGCTGAGGAAGCAGAATTCAAATTTAGTAAGGCACTAAGCAAATTAGTGAGACTCTGTCTCAAAATTAAAAATATTACGGGGGGCTGGAGTTGTGGCTTAGCGATAGAGCACTCATCTCGGACGTGCAAGGCCCTGAGTTCAATCCTCAGCACCACATATAAGTAAATAAATAAAATAAAGGTATTGAGTCCATAAAAACAAAAAAAAAAAAAAAAAGTATAAAAAAAAAAAATAAAAAGGGCTAGGGATGTGGCTCAGTTGTTAAGTGCTCCTAAAATCAATTCCCAGTAACAAAAACAAAAACAAAAACTAAACCAAAAAACACTTATTGTTGTTGAAATAAAAGATTCTGGTATAAGCTTAGACTTAAAGCTTGTACATACATACGAATAAGATACGGCCTAAAGTTGAAAGTTTTATCTATTAGGCAGGTGTACCTAAGAAATGAGCAACAGATGGTGGTAGGTGTTTTACCCTTGCGGGACTAGGGGAAGAGCCAGGGGATTAGCAGATTATCAGAACTAATAATAGTCTTGAGAACAAAGTAGCAAGTAAAGAATTGAGAACTAATGGGGGAGTTTAATGTACCGCCAGACTAAGGCCTCAGAGGTAAATATAGTATAAAAGCACTTTCCAATTTCCTTTATTATAAAATACAGCACCTGACTAATAAGAATGGCATGTGTTTGTAATAAATATATCTACACCTACTAATTATTATGATGAGGCAAGTTTGGGAAATACTGGCTTAGAGTAAATCAGAAATAAGCATCCCAATTAAGAAATTGTAAATCAGGACTAAGGAAGAGTAAACCATGATCAGATTAAGGATAACACAAATTAGTTTTACAAGGTGTCAGCACTTTTTCTGTAAAGGGAAACAGCAAATATTTTAGGCTTTGGAGCCAAAAGGCAAAATCAAGGATACCATATAGGTACTTACATAGCAAAAGATAAATCAAATTTTCATCAAGTTTTTACTGATAAATTCAAAATATATTAATGAGTATAACTTTTCTGTATAGGTCTACTAATGAGAACAGATTTTATTGGAGGGATAATATTGTGCTTATTTGGAAATCAAAATTAGTGTTCACTACTGTGAAAATCAATTGCAAATGTTCATATGTTAAGGCTGATCTGTAATGAGATTTTCATCTTTTTTTATTTATTTATGTTTTTTAGTTGTAAATGAACACAATACCTTTAATTTATTTATTTTTATGTGGTACTGAGGATTGAACTCTAAGCTTCACACATGCTAGGCAATAGTAATGATGACAAGTTTTTTTTTAGTTGTAGATGGACACAATATCTTTATTGTTTTTTAATATTTATATTTTTAGTTGTAGTTGGACACATACCTTTATTTTATTTATTTTTATTTTTATGTGGTGCTGAGAATCGAACCCAGGGCCTCAAATGTGCTAGGTAAGTGCTCTACTGCTGAGCCACAACCCCAGCCCAATAATATCTTTATTTTTATTTATTTATTTTTATGTGATGCTGAGGATCAAAAGGGCCTTACACATGCTAGGCAAGCGCTCTATCACTGAGCTACAACCCCAGCCCCAAACAATTTTTTTTTAATTTTATGATTTTATTCATTTTAGTTTTTGTTTATATATGGTGCTGAGAATCGAACCCAGTGCCTCACACATTCAAGGCAAGTGCTCTACCAGTGAGCCACAACCCCCAGCCACCCCACTTTTTTTTAAGATAGATTTTTTCCTTAAAATAGTTTTTTAGTTGTTGATAGACCTTTATTTTATTTATGTATATGTGGTGCTGAGAATCAAACCCAGTGCCTCACACATGCTAGGCAAGTGCGCTACAGCTGAGTCACAGCCCAAGCCCATGATGACAGCTTTGATTATGTTCAAAACTAAATGCAGAAAAAATAAATTAACTGTTGTAAGGAACTTGGAAAAAGAGGGTTTACAGAGTGACTGCTAATGAGAACAGGATTACTTTTGGGAGTGATGAAAGGTTCTAGAATTAGATAATATTTGCATAATGTATTTAATATACTACAAATCACTGAATTATCTTAAAATGTGAATTTTATGGCATGTAAATATTTTAAAAATATAATCAGTTTTTCTTAAGTTTATGGCAACATATTATTAAATTTTAGATATTTAAATAAGGAATAACTGTATTTCTAGCTATAAAACAAAAAGGAGCATTAAAGTTATATATTGTACTCATTTCTAAAAACTACACAAAGGCTTGGGTGTAGCTCAGTGGTAAAGCTACCAAGAGCACTAAACATACATAATCCCCAGTACTACGATTGTTAGAAAAGCACAAGTTTTTTGTTTCTGTGTTAAGTTCAGATTTTATAATAGCAAAGTTGTATAAATAATCAGATAAATACTAAGAAAATGTTGCTATTTAATAAAGTAATAAATTTTGAATTTTGAAAGTTTAACTTTTGCAAAAAACACATAAGAGTTACTAAAAAGTACTATCATACTAGAGTTTCTCCTACATTCCAGTAAACAAGTCTGGTGGTTACCTCCTTCTCCTCTGGGCAGTACAGAGGCCCTGTAGGATGAAGAACAGCTTTCTGTGCATAATAAAAGAGCTCTGATATGTTCTTCAGGTTTTTTGCTGAACACTGAAAAGAAAAGGTTAAAAATTTTATACTGTAAAATCAATTATGAGAACAAAAAATGTATTTTAAAACTATCAAAATAAGGTGGCAGATTTTGTGAAGAAACTGAAAACTGCATTTTCCTTTGTGGACATCACAATATCATGTCTACACACAACCTAGTTCTGTTGTACTTGGGTTTACATGAGTGCACAAAGAGCAGAAAATTTATTCCATCACACATCACCCCCATTCCTATTCAGAATCTCAGGTTAGTGAGAATTCACCAATAATAAATTTTCATGAGGCATACCTCCACACAGGTTTCTATTTCTGTATACTGGTTCATGATGGGAAGGATGGTCTCCATGCTACTGTATTCCACCAGATCAGACTTGTTCCCAACCAATATCAAAGGCAGCCTGAAATGAAGAGGAATTGTAATAAGAAAGGGAAAAGACCTTATATCTACATTTAATTCACATCATAACTCAGAATTTCTAAGTAAAAATCTTATTAAAACTCATGAACTCGGGCTGGGGATGTAGCTCAAGTGGTAGCGCGCTCGCCTGGCACGCGTGCGGCCCAGGTTCGACCCTCAGCACCACATACAAACAAGGATGTTGTGTCCACCGAAAACTAGAAAATAAATATTAAAAAACTTAAAAAAAAAAAAAACTCATGAACTCTTACTATAGTCAGTTTCATCTAACCATTGAACACATATTTAATGGGTACCTATAATAAACCACAAACATATTAAAGACACAAGACAAGGAAGATCTCTTCCAATTGTAACATTGAAAACAGAAAATGAACAATAAGTAAATAAACAATTTTTCAATTCAGTAAGTGTTATGAAGGAACTGAAAAGGGGCACATAGGATAGATAGAGCACATGGAAGAAGTTAATTACAAATAGTAATCAGAGAAAAACTCTCCAACAAAGTAGTATTTGAACAAAGGAGTGAAAGACCAGATTAGAATTCTTTATATGAAGAGCAAGGAAAAGCTACCTGGGAAGAAGGGTCACCACATTCAAAGGCCTCAAATTGAAAAAAAAAAAAAAAAAAGATCCTGGTGGGGTCAAAGATGCTGGAGTGAAGAGATGCTGAGCAAAAGAGGTTATGAAAATTATGAAATGGGGCTGGACACGATCAAAGGCCAGACATATAGAACTTAAAAGCTGCAGTAAGGAGAGTGGAAGACACTGAAGGGTTAAAAGCAGGAGCATGACACGATCTGATCCACATTTTTAAATGCAATGATTTGTTACTTTTAAAACATACATACTGAAAGATACATAGTGTGATATAGTATGTTAGTTTGCTTCAAAATGACTCGAATGGGAGGAGTAATAGATGAAATGAAACTGGCAATGAGTTAATTGTTGAAGCTGGATGACAGATACATGGGAATTATTACACTATTCTCTCTACTTTTGTATATGTTTGATTTCTTTCATTAAGAAAAAGTTTTTTTGCTGGGCACAGTTGTGTGTGCCTATAATCCCAGTGGCTCAGGAGGATCATGAGTTCAAAGCCAGACTCAGCAAAGTGAGGGACTGAGCAACTCAGTGAGATTCTGTCTCTAAATAAAATACCAAAAAGAAAAAAGGGCTGGGGATGTGGCTCAGGGGCCAAAGTGCCCCTGAGTTCAATACCCAGTACCCCTCCTCCCATCAAAACAAAAAGAAAAAGCTTTTTTTCCCCTTTTATTTTCAGTATTGGGGACTGAACCCAGGAGTGCTTTTACCACTGAGCTACATCCCTAGCACTTAGTTTATTTTTTGAGATAGGGTCTCGCTAAATTATTGCAGGTGTCACTAAGTTGCTGAGGCTACCCATGAACTTACAATCTTCCTGTCTCGGCCTCCTGAGCCACATGTCACTGTGCCCACTTAGAAAAGGCTTTTTAAAAATCTGATAGCTTGGAATAGAGCATTCAAGTGAAGTTGAAGAAGAAATATTCAGATTTAAGACATTTTAGGAGTACAACTAACACAGATATTAGTATCTGATAAACACAGAAGCTGAAGGAAAGGGAAAAATATACAGGATTTTGGCTAGAGAAAATGAAGAGATTCCATAAGACATCGAAGATGGAGGGAGTTTTGTTTCTTGGTGGGAGAGTGGGTTGGCAGAGAATTAAAGATTTTGTTTTAGACAAGTGAAATCTGGAGAAGACTGTGGGAAATCGAAATAGGTTATCAAAGAGGATCAGTCTAATGAAGAACTGTTATTTGGGAATCCTACAAGACAGCTTGCAGAAAGCAAATTATCTTGCTGGAACTCGAAACTGCAATAGAAATCCTTGAAACATTTAGTTTACCTCCCTGCTATGACCATCATGCTTAAAGAAACTGACCCACTCTATTACCCAAATATTGATTCCCAACCAATCCAGAAGGTTTTCCAAAAACATAGTGGTTTATAATAACAGATGTATACAGAAATGCCTTCTCTGAAGAGTCCCTCCCAGAAATAGCTTAATGAAGAAGAACAAATATCAGGAGCATACAGGTATTGGATCCTCCAAAGGAGCCCTGTCCAATATAACATTCTATGATGGTGCGACTATTCTTTACCTGCCCCGTTCATTACTGTTAACAACTAGCCAGATGTAGCTACAAAGCTCCTGAAATGTGATTAAACATATTGAAGAAACTATAATTTTAGTTTTATTTAATTTTAATTTATTTAAAGTTAAAATGCCACAACTGACTAGAGACTACTGCAGTGGGAACCACATCTTTGAAGGGTCCACTCTCCCCTTTCCGTCTTGTCAATAAGTCACCATAAAGTTTAAAACCATGATAAGAAGGCACCATCGGAGCTATTAGGCATAGCACTTACAATGCCATCTCAGTCCAAAGTTGCTCTTCCATAACTAAGTAAAACAGATGAATGATCACATTAATCTGTTCAGAACCAGACTTTCAGCTGGGCATGGTGGTATACAACTTTAATCCTAGCAACTCGGGAGACTAAGACTAAGACAAGGGAATCAATTTAGCAAGGCCTTAAGCAACTTAGAGAGAACTTGTCTCAAAATAAAAAATAAAAAGGGTTGGGGATTTGACTGGGTGCAGTGGCACACTCCTGTAATGCCAGCAAACCGAGAGGCTGAGGCAGGAGGATGGCAAAGTTCAAAGCCAGCCTCAGCAATGGCAAGGTGTTAAGCAACTCAATGAGACCCTGTCTCCACATAAATTACAAAATAGGATTGGAGATGTGGCTAAGTGGTTGAGTGCCCCTGACTTCAAACCCCAGTACTCCTCCCTCCAAAAAACAGGGGTTTGGAGATGTGACTTAGTGGTCAAGCACCCCCTGGGTTCAATCTCCAGTACAAAAAAACCTCCAAAAAACAAAAAAAAAAAAAAGAAAGAACTAGGCTTTCAGAGTTTAAAAAGACAAAAATGCTCAACTGAAAATAAATTTTTAAAAAATTGAGTACAGGACCAAATGTGCTCAATTAATAAATATGAGTTTGAATTTCTTAACATTTAAGACTCAAATGCGCTTCATAAATGTTATTCCAATTAAATAATATTGCAAGAAAATATTTTGTTTCCATTTAAATTTAAAATGTTTATGCTCAGAACTACTATTCTGGTTCAGAAAAATACAGAATGCACACTCTCTTACTTTTTCCCTGTCATACTTATATCTTCCAAAGAATTACAAAGAAATCTTTCTTTATGAATTCCTAAAGAGTTCCTTAAAGAATTTATAAAGTACTTACATATGCATTATTTCATTTGATTCTCAATATAACCACATGTAGCTAAGACAGATATTACCCTTATCCTCACTTATACATGAGGAAACTAACAAGTCAAAGTCTACAAGCTCATAAGGGTCAAACCAGATTTCAAGGGTTATTCATTTTTTTTCAAAGTTCCTGCTCTAACATACACTACACTGTATACAATCAACTATAATTGCCCACACCGTGAGTAAACGATGATGCCCTATTTCATCAAAGGAGTACAAAATAGGACAGAGGGTTACTGGGGGTCTAGCACCGTGGTAGAGTACTTGCCTTGCATGTATAAGGTCCTAGATTTCAATCTGCACCACCATAAAAATAGAGGGTGTGTGTGTGCACACAAAATACAGGTGAGGATACACTCTAAAACTGAGACTTTCAAGCAGCAGTTTGAGAAACAAAAATGTAAGATTATCAAAATATTTAATCTGTCTGTATTTATGAATTATTAGCATAGTGCCGTTTCTTTGCTCTCAAATATACTTACTGCTTCAAGTGATTCCTCCCAAAACAGATGTGTGGGGATGTATGGAGGTATGTAAGCAGACAGATGAACTGACAAAGCATATGTGGCAAATGTTAACAACTGATGGATCTGTGAAGGGTTTTCAGATGTTCATTACTATTTCTCACATCTTTTTGGTAAAATTCCTATTTGAAATTTTTCAATATAAAGTTTGAGAGAAAAAATACCTGCTGTCTTTGTCTGTTCTTTCATTTATGAGAGGAATCCATCGACTTGTTACCTAAAACAAAAATGAACAAGAGCAAAGTCATGATGTAGATCATCATTAAAAATTTTGTCCTCTAATCATTAAAATTCTAAATTGAGGATCAACTTTGAAAGTGCTCCATTGAAATTTAACTAAATATAATGGGAAAAAATCATATATTTATACCTTATCAATAGAATGTTTGTTGTTAACAGCATAAACTATGCAGATGACATTAGCCTAGAAGAAAAATTAACAAATTAATGTCATTTTAAAATAAAAATACAAACATTAGCATTTAATTACCAACTAGTTAATATATTTGGCTCAAAGGCAGAAAAATTTTGAAGGGGAAAAAAAAGCTTACCCCTAAAGAGTAAAATATTCCTAAGGATCCACAATAAAAACATGTTCAAAATTAGCATCAACAACAAAGAATTGAAAATTCTTGCTAAGTGAGAAAATGAAAAAAGCACACTCTTAGGGTCATCACTGTTTTTCCACAAAAACATACAACTATTTTTTTAAACTTACCTGTGATATTTCTTGATGAAGTTGTTCATCACTCTGTTCTGCTTCTACAAGTGACAAAAAGTCAATGTTCACATTTTAAACACTTTCATTATAACCAATAGTCAACCTATAATACATGTGACACCAATTACTATCCTTCAAAATGCCATGGTATAGCTCTACCATGGTATACATGATAGAGCTAGGATAAGGAAGCAAAGAAATCAAGACTGGGTAGCAAAGACCAGAGTAACCCAGGATCAGAGAAAGTTGAACTAAGATAAGGAAGCTGGCTAATGATAAAAGACACATCCATAAGAAGGTAGCCGGAGCATAGAAGAGCAGAGACATTGTGTGATAAATCTAGGCCAGCATCTGATCCAGGGTTACAAAGGGTCAGGCAAAAGAGATCAGCAACTCAAGATAGAAAACTGAGTGCTTTAAAGTCGGAAGCTCAGAGTGAGTCTATATAATAGGGTCCAAAAGGCCAGGTGAGAATCTGGTCAATACAAGCTTACAATCTAGATAGCAGGTAGAAGAAATAATAACCAGGACCCAGAAGCAAAACTATAGCATGACAATGAAGAATCAAGCACATATTTCTAGCCAGAACTGCTCTCAAAGGGTATACATGATAGAGCTAGGACGAGGAAGCAAAGAAATCAAGAGCAATTAATTTAGATCATTTTAGGTTACATGTCTCCCCCCAAATGCCTGTTATTCCTCACAAAGAAACTAGTAATGGTATGTTATACTATGCTAAAAAAAAAAAAAAGGCTGTATATTTAATATTTTTCCATATGTTGAGTAGTCAACAAGGCTTCAATTCTAATAATTAAATTAATCAAATTATAAGGCTGTGTGTATCAAAAAAGAATAATTCTATAAATAAAGCTAGTTGTGAGGCTTCAATTTCTAGTATACTGCTGTTCAACATACATACAATGCAAGCCACATATGTAATTGTTAATTTTCTAGTAGTTATCTTTAAAAAGGTAAAAAGAGTCCATGCATGGTGGCGCATGCCTGTAATCCCAGTAGCTTGGGAGGCTGAGACAGGAGGATCAAGTTCAAAGTCAGCCTTAGCAAAAAGCAAGGTGCTAAGCAACTCAGTGAGACCCTGTCTCTAAATAAAACATAAAACAGGGCTGGGATGTGGCTCAGTGGTCAAGCACCCCTGAGTTCAATCCCCAATACCAAAAAAAAAAATAAAAATAAAAGGGGTAAAATTAATTTTTATTTAACCCAAAATATAAAAAATTAAATTAAAAAAATTAAAACTCCCACTCAATAGAAAAATTAATGAGATACTTTTACATTTTTTATGCTAACACTTAAAAATATACTTGCATTTTAAATTTTTTTTTTTTTGAGAGAGAGAGAGAATTTTTTTTTAATATTTATTTTTTAGTTCTTGGAGGACACAACATCTTTGTTTGTATGTGGTGCTGAGGATCGAACCCGGGCCGCACGCATGCCAGGCGAGCATGCTACCGCTTGAGCCACTTCCCCAGCCCCGCATTTTAAATTTATAGCACTTTATTTTTTGTTTGTTTTTTGGTACTGAGAATTGAAACCAGGGCTGGAGTTGTAGTTCAGTGTTAAGGCATTTGTCTAACATGTGTGAGGCACTGGGTTTAATCCTTAACACCACATAAAAATAAATAAATAAAATAAGTCGTGTCCACCTACAAATAAAAATTAAAAATTAAAAAATAAATTTGAACCCAGGGGTACTCTACCCCTGAGTTATATCCCCAGCTCTTTTTGTTATTTTTTAAATTTGAGAGATGAGGGCTAGAGCTGTGGCTCAGTGATAGAACACTTGCCCACCATACATAAGGTACTGGGTTGGATCCTCAGCACCACATATAAATAAATGAATGAATGAATGAATGTTAAAAAAAATTGTTTAAAAAAATTTGAAAGAGAGTCTCCCTAAGTTGCTTGCGGCCTCACTAAGCTGCCAAAGCTGGTCCCAAACTTGTGATTCTCCTGTCTCAGCCTCCTGAGTTGCTGGGATTACCGTCATGGGCCACCATACCCAGCTATAGAACATTTAAAATTTAGAATGGCCATAGGTAATGGACAGAACAGTTATAGTGTTTTATTTTGAAAATATATGGAATATCAATTTATCCAAAGTATTATCATTATATTTATATCCATGTTCTAAAAAGTTCTAGATCAGAAATAATTAAATGAATAAAATGTAAGTAGTATTATGTAAAAAGTTTTTAAGTTATTGAAAGCACTATAGATGTGTTTCTGATATATAAGCAAGTTGACAAATGTTTTACTTATTTTATTTGTGACAAAGGTTGATGATATGATTTAGATCCTAAATGTCCCCCAAAGCTCCTGTGTTGAAGTCTTGATCCTCAATGCAGCAGTGTTCAGAGGTGAGACCTTCTGAAGGTGACTGGATCACGAGTGCTCTGACATAATAAATGGATAATCCAATTATAGATTCATAGCTCAATGGACTATTGGAAGGTGATGGACACTTTAGAAAATACAGCCTAATTGGAGAAATTAGGTCACTGGGGATGTGCCCTTGAAGGGTGCATTTTGTCTCAGACCCCTTCTCTAAGCTTCTTGACCACCATGAGGTAAACATTTTTGTATCATGTGCTTTTATCATCATGGCTTGCCTCATGACAGGTCCAAAAGCAACCTTGCCAAGCATCCATAGATTGAAACCATGAGCCAAAGTATACATTTACTCCTCTTAAGTTGTTATCTCAGGTATTTTGTCAGTAACAGAAAGCCGACTAGTAAAGTTGACAAAAAATAAATTCAGAATTCAATATATTCTTAAATTCAGAATTCTAAATCATCAAAACATACCTGAATGGATAACAACAAAATTGACCCAGAACTTCTTTCTGTAAACGTGCCAATTTCAGCAGGGTAATGACTTATATATCATTTGCCATTTAATTTTCCTCCTTATTTTTTATTATTATGGAACCCAATTTGGTATTTTGGGGACACAGAACTACCAAATGGAGGCTTTAGGTAGGGAGTAGAATGGGGGATGCGGATTGAAAGAGACATTAGGGGAATATCATATACTATAACAGAGAAAGGACCATCTCTCTCTGATTTTTTTTTTTTTTTTTTTTTGGTACCAGAAATTGAACCCAGGAGCACTTAACCACTGAGCACATCCCCAGCCCTTTTTATTTTTTTTTTATTTTGAGACAAAGTCTCACCAAGTTGTTTAGGGCCTCACCAATTTGCTGAGGCTGGCTTTGAACTTATGATCCTCTTACCTCAGTCTCCCAAGATGCTAAGATTACAGACATGTACTCTGCTCAGCCTCTGAGAATTTTTAAAAGCTCAATAAGACTGTCTTCAGGACTATTAAACTAACTCTAGAGCTTCACCTACAAAAGGACATCCATTACCTGAGTAATCTACAATGTGTGTTGGAACTCTCTCGGGGGTGACGTCAGCTGGAATGGTGATTTCTTCTGCCCGAGGAGGAACCTTTTTTGCAAACAAACGCAGAAAAGGAAAAAATTAGGGGATATTATCAAATTCGTTAACAGATTATATAAATTTATTTATATTAGTCCCTTGTAAATTCTTATTTTAACTTTTTAAATTCTTATTTTTTTTACTCATCACAGATGCAAATATATATGAAAAACATATGGTAAAAACATTTTTTAATAGCATAATAAAAACTAAAAAAGGTTTTTCTTTTGAAAAACAATGCACATTTCTACTTATGTAGGTAGAAGACATATTAAGGACACTTTTTATCCGATATAGACAAAAACAATTCTTAAATTAATTTGGTGTTTCAAACATTAGTTTTTAAAATATATTATTCTCATTCTATTTTATTGAAGGCCTAAGATACTCTACAGACGAGGAGCTATGGTAATCCAACACAATTTTCAGGAGCTGGAGGTGTAGCTAAGTGGTAGAACACTTGCCTAGAATGTACAAGGCCATGGGTTCCATCTCAAGAACTGAAAAAAAATAAAAAAAACCCACAAAAAAACAAAGCAATATTTAAATTAATCAGTAAATTATCAAATTAACTTCTAGAAGTTAACTAGTTGGCTGCCTAATGTGCCATATGCTTAATAATCTCATTTTTCAGTTAGCATGTTGGCACACATATGTAGTTACAGACTCAGGAGGCTGAGGCAGGAAAACTGCAAGTTTGAGGCTAGCCCCAGAGACTTAGCAAGATGCTGTCTCTAAATGAAAATTTAATAAAAAGGGGCTGGAAAGAAAGAACCACTTAGCTCAGTGGTAGAGTGTACCTAAATTCTACCAACTGAGCTATATCCCCAGCCCCAAGACTATATATATATATATAAAAAAAAGAAAGAAATTAGCAAACAATTCTTTTTTTAAAATATTTTTATTTTTTAGTAGTAGATGGACACAATATCTTTATTTATTTATTTATTTTTATGTGATGCTGAGGATCAAATCCAGTGCCTCATATTTGCAAGGCAAGCGCTCTACCACTGAGCTACAATTGCAGCCCAAGACTATATAATTTTTAAATTAATTAAAAATCTCTTATCCATACTCAGGAGGGCAATGCTAAAATAGTTCTAAACTAAGTCAAATTTTTGCAGAAAACCTTTAGGTATTATACCTCTTTCCCAACTGACTATAAATTAATGTTAACAATTCCACAAATGAAAATATACTTCACTTCTCAAACTAAGTAATTACTTATTTGACTATCTTATTTAAGGGGGCAGGAAGCAAAAGAAACAATGAATGGTCATATGGTTGTTGTGGATGTTGAAAACACTATCATATGGAAATGTAATTCAGTGGGAAAGTACATATTTAGCATGCACAAGGCCCTGGATTCAATTCCCAGCACCAAAAAAAACTAACACAAGATACATCAAATTTCTACCTGAACAATGAAATTACACAGTTATTTCTACCTAAAAAAGAGCAAAGAAGGGGTAAATGCAAACTGTGTTACTAATAATAATATTATGTAAAGAAAAAAAAAAACAGAAATCATTTTCATTCTATTCCACTTATCCCATTCCCCATAGCAATAGCCTAACTTTTAGCTAGCAGCCTCTCACACTAGAACTTTGAAAGTGGAAATAAATATATACTGTCAGTCATAATAAAACCACCTGATTTTTCGTGGCACTTCACTATTACTAAGCTCATCTCATTTGTGATCCAAAACAATTCTTTTAGGTGAGCAAAGGAAGAATGAATTAGTTTCTTCATTTGTAAAATGAGGTAGGTAGATAAATGTTTCCAAATATGTGTGTTAGAATTCTAGTGGTTCTGCAAAAACACTCAAAAGAGTGGGCAGTGGAAAACAAGCAGAGATCCAGATTTTTCACCCTAATTTCAACTCACAGAATACTCATCATCTCTTTTATATTTGGGGCTTATAAGTAACATTTTATTTTTAAGAATGAGTTATACAATCTCATTATCTCTTTTAACTTCCATTTTACAGATGAGACAACTAAGGCACCAAGATGACAAATGTCCTAGACAAGGTCAAAAGCAGGAAACACAAAGGACTTGGTAAACTTAGATCTAGTTGATTCTTTCTCAGATATGCCTCTATAAACTAATATAAACCTTTAAAAAGTTTCATCTGGGGCTGGGGTTGTGGCTCAGAGATAGAGTGCTTGCCTAGCATGTGTGAGGCACTGGGTTTGATTCTCAGCACCACATATAAATAAATGAATAAAAAGTCCATCAACAACTAAAAAAAAGTTTCAACTGTTGAAAAGGAAACATTTTTTTAAAAGTAAGAGTTATTTCACTTTAACTTACTTTTGATAATTTTTAAAAATATTTTTTAGTTGTAGATGGATACCTTTATTTATTTATGTTTATGTGGTGATAAGGATGAATCCCAGTGCCTCATACATGTGAGGCAAGCTCTCTGCCACTGAGCCACTATTCCAGCTCTTACTTTTTTTAAAAAAGAAAGATGGACACAATAACTTTATTTTATTTATTTTTGTGTGGTGCTAAGGATCAAACCCCTCACATGCATGAGGCAAGCGCACTATCACTGAGCTATAACCCCAGCCCTTACTTTTGATAATTTTTAAAAAAATTCTAAATATGGAAAAGAAATCAAAATGTTTACCTCTTCTGGAAATTCTTCACTGACCAGAGACATAATGAGTGATGTCTTCCCAACTCTAGCTGTGAAAAGAAAAATCATCACTTTAATGAAAGTGTTTGGTTCTATATAAGCTCAAATCCAGCAGCCAGAGAGGAAATATATTACTTATTAGCTAAAATCAAAGGCATCCAAATTTAATAAAATATTTAAAAGCATACATAAACATGTACATACATATATATATGTATGTATGTGTGTGTATATATATATATATATATATATATATATCTGTAATTTTTAAAAAATAGTAATAATAAATCTGTTTCATATCAATATTAAAAAACCTCCAACGTTATTTTTGGGAGTTCTATATAAGAATCCATTGTATAAAGTTTTATAATTTATTAATGTGATTTCCCAACAGTGAACATTTGGATTGTTCTGGAAATTGTTCACTAACTAAGACATAATGAATGATGCCTTCCCAACTCTAGCTGTGAAAATAAAAATCGTCACTTTAATGAAAGTATTTGGAAACAATCCAAATGTTCACTTTTACAAACAATGCAGTAATTAGTATTTTTACAAAATAATTTCCTTGTAGTGGAATTTAAGAATTTTAGTTATGATGCATGATTTTTGTTTTTAATAGATAAATTATTTCTAAAATAAACCAATTTATATCTTCATCAACAGAATACCAGTGCTTTATTTCTTTACATTCCTACATTCTTTCTTTTTAAATATATTTAAAACAAAAAAAAAATCCTGTTACATTTTCCATTTTAAATATATTATCTTTAAAATCTTGATTTTTATTCTGAAATTTGACTTGTATTTACATAATTTTTATTATCATGTAATTACTTTTATTAGACATTCAATTGTTTATCATCTAAACTCTTTTGTGATTCCAGAGGAAACAACTTGCCTATTAGCCTCTGCCATAGTAGCAAATTATAATTTTTAAAAGTAAAGTCTAAATATGAAAGAATAGATATTTTTAGAGTTAAGAACAATCACAATCTCTTCCTAGATGACTAAAGGAAAGGGCTATAATCAATGGTTACACCACAGGAAGGAGAATGAGTACTGGTCAAAATAGCAGAGGATTTGCTATGAACAACTGAGTACTAGTGGACAGACAGATTAGATGTTTTAATAGATGTTTTCCAGCTCTGATTTCTACAAACCTTCTCTTGTGTGAGAAGGGCTGGGCCTTTTTCAAGTGGTTGACCATAAAGTGTGACTGAGTTCCTACTACATCAGTGAGTCCAAAGCCATGATCACAGAATTGCTAGAACCTAGCAGCAATGCCAAATTACATAGCTCTTCACAAAATTTTCAGATAAGGAACCTGGGACCTACAGACAAAATTTTCTCAAGATGTTACAAAAATATTAGTTGCAGATCTATCTGCAGATTGCAAAGTCAATGCTTTCTCTTATGCTATATTTTCCAAAAAATTGCTAATAAAACTTAATAATATAGACAGGAAATGGTGACTATATCAGCATATCACATACATAAACAAATATCACATAGTATAATTAAAATATTCACTAATTTAGCAGGGCAGAGCGATGTACCCCTACAATCCTAGCTACCCAAGAGACTGAGGCAGGAGGAGCACAGGTTCAAGGTCAGCTTCAGCAATTTAGGAAGACTTTGTCTCAAAATAAAAAAAATGAAAGGGGTTGGGGATGTATATCAGTGGTAAAGTGTCCTGGGTTTGATCCCTCATATAGCAAAATAAATAAACAACGATTATGCAAGTCACCATTTCATTGGCAACCAGATCTTGTTCAATTTTACTTTATTAAACTTATTTTGAAAAATTTCAGATTTACAAAGAAATTGCAGAATACAAAGTATTCATGTCTTTTACTCAGATTCCTCACATACTAACATCATTTTACCATATTTATATTATCATTTTCCCCCTCTCCCATCTCTCTATATATCTTTATTTGTATCTATTACAAATAGGTTTACATAAGACCCTTTGAAAATAAGTACATCTTTGCACATATTTCCTGAAAGCAAACTCCAATGTATATTGTTAACAGTAGGAAATTAACCACAAACACAATACTATTATTTCATGTGTCTGACCATTATCCTTTACAGAAAAGGATTTATTTTTTATGGTCTAAGAGCAAATGTTGCTTTTGCTGTCAATCTGAAAGAATTTCTTTAAAATAAATAAATAAATATATATATATATATATATATATATATATATATATATATTTTTTTTTTTTTAATTGTCGATGGACACAATACCTTTACTTTGTTTGTTTAGTTTGTTTATGTGGTGCCAGGGATTGAACTCAGGGCCTCATGCATGCTAGGCAAGCACTCTGCCACTGAGCTACAGCCTCAGCCCTGAAAGAATTTCTTAAATCTTTTCTTCTTTTCTTTTCCTTCCTTCCTTCCTCCCTCCCTCCCTCCCTTCCTTCCTTCCTTCCTTTCTTGTCTTTCCTAACATTAACATTTAAAATTCTTTTAAACCTTTGGGCAGGAATATCCCAGTATGTTTTTCTCAGTGCATCACAGCAGACAGCAGATGATGCCCCATGACTGGGGATGTTAGCTAGATCACTTGGATATGGTGATGTCTGAGGTTTCTCCATAGGAGAGTTATTATTTTTCTTTTGGTAATTAATAAGTATCTTGGAAGGAGATCCTTTGAAACCATGTAAACATCCTGTGAGCTTCTTTCCTATGGAGTTAGGGTGTGCCACCACCTTGGTTCATTGACATGTTCACCAACCAGGAAGCTCTCCTGGGCTTTGATGCTCAGAGGTTTTATAGGGGGTCTTGTTATGTAGATGTGGCTGATTAAATCATTGGTTAATATGGTTGAATTCAAACATTACTCCCTCATTCATCCTTGGGGGACTTGGTTTTTCTGGTGACTAACCCCCTTCATGAATGAGTTACCTCAATAGGATGAACTCAAGTATGGTTGAAGGGGCTCATTATTCATAACAAAAACACTCCTATCATTAGGAAATTCAAAGCAATTTTGAAGCTCTGTGCCAGAAATTGGGGACAAAGACCAGATGTATCATGTTGTATATCACACTTTCTAATGTTATTTGATTTCAAAAACAATTTTTACTAAAAACAAATTGAGCAAAATAATTTTGGAATTTTTAAATTGCCTCAGCTCTTACCTGCCATTTATAGTTCTCCAGTAGCACTTTTTTTTTTTTTTTTTTTTGTATCAGAGATTGAACCAAGGGTTTGCTCAACTACTGAGCCACATCCCCATCCCTTTTTAAAATTTTCAGGGTCTTGTTAAGCTGCTTAGGGCCTCGCTAAATTGCCGAGGCTGACTTTGAACTTGTGATCCTACTGCTTCAGCCTCCCAAGGCTGGGATTATAGTCATATGCCATTGCACCTGGCCAAAGAATACACATAACCTGACATTCTTTAGATAAATTTCAGTTACCATCTGTAAGTTTAGAACAAGCCAATTTTTACTATCAAAAATTATTTTTAAAATAGTATTTATTGACCTTTTCTAGTAGTAAAACTTTTATTTTAGAAAATATGAAAAAACAAATAATTACAGTTACTTTTACTTCCGAGATAACCATTCTTGGTGTTCATATTCTTTTTTTTTAATATTTATTTTTTAGTTGTAGTTGGACACAATACCTTTATTTTATTTATTTTTATGTGGTGATGAGGATCGAACCCAGGGCCTCGCACATGCTAGGCAAGAGCTCTACTGCTGAGCCACAACCTCAGCCTGGTGTTTATATTCTTGCAGGATTTTTCCTATCCACATTCATAATTATAAAATGTGATCATAGGGGCTGGGGTTATAGCTCAGTGGTAGAATGCTTTCCTAGCATGTATGAAGCACTGGGTTCAATCCACAGTACCACAAAAAAATAAAATTAAATTAAATAAATAAATAAACAAACAAACAAATAAATAAATAAAGGTATTGTGTCTATCTTCAACTAAAAAAAATTTCAAAAACGTAGTCATATTACATGTGTTGATTTATACCTGCATAAATATGATTTTGAAAAGTACAATGGGGCTGGGCATGATAGTGCAGGCCTGTAATTCCAGCAGCTCGGGAGGCTCAGGCAGGAGTATCAAAGCCAGCCTCAGCAAAAGAGAGGTGCTAAGCAATTTGGGGAACTGTCTCTAAATAAAATTAAAAAATTGGGCTGGGAATGTGGCTCAGTGGTTGAGTGTCTCTAAGTTCAACCCTCAGTACCAAAAAAAGTAAAATGGAGCAATTTAAACCTCCAAAATAATTATGATTGTGGGTTATAATTCATAAAATAGAAATCCATGAGTCCATAAATATATATGAATCAGAAGGGAAAGTTTTCCATGTAGTAGAATTCTCATTAGCATAGAAGTACAGATAGAAATAGAAAATTAGTACTATCCAGGCATGGTGGTGCACCTGTAATCCTATTGATTTGAGAGGCTGAGGCAGGAGGATTGCAAATTCAAGGCCAGCCTTAGCAATTTAGCAAGGAACTAAGCGGCTCAGGAGGCTGAGACAGGAGGATCACGAGCTCAAAGCCAGCCTCAGCAATAGTGAGGCACTAAGCAACTCAGTGAGACCCTGTCTTTAAATAAAATTCAAAATAGGGCTGGGGTGGTAGTTCAGTGGTCGAGTGCCCCTGAATTCAATCCCCCGTTGGCCCCCCAAAAAATTGAACTGAACTGTAGTACACCCAGTAGATATCAGAGAATTAGTGTCAGAACACAAAGAGAAAGAAAATTTTGTATTTATTAAAGTAATCTATGGGGGCTGGGGTTATAGCTCAGTGGTAAAGCACTTGCCTGGCACATGTGAGGCACTGGGTTCAATCTCAGCATCACATAAAAATAAATAAATAAAAATAAAGGTATTGTGTCCATCTACAACTAAAAATAAAAACAAAATAATAATAAAGTAATTATATCTCAAAAACCTGCAAAACATTGTAGCACATCTTTTATCCAAAAAGAGTAGTTATATATATACACACACACACTCATCCCCTGGACCTAACAAGGAAAAACACTAAAAGAACATACAAAGAATATTAACTT